AGGGCAGCCAGGATGGTGGAGAGCCTTGGGTCCATGTCATCTGAGGATCAGTTGAAGGAACTTGGGAAACTTACCTGGAGAAGAGAAGACAGTGGGGAAGAGGAGGGGTGTGACTCTCTTCAGGTATTTAAAGGAATTATCATGTGGAGGAGGGATGAGGTTTGTTTTGGTTGGCTCCAGAGGATCATGAGTAATTGGTGGAAGTTAGAAACAGGCAAATTTAGACTTGACCTCAGAAATATGTCCCAACTATTCAAATGATACCAAATTGAAGGTCCTGCCATTAGAGCTGATGGGCTTCCCCTCTTGGGATGTCTTTACCTGGAGTCTAGATGACTGCTTGTTAGGTGTGTTAAAGTAAGAGGAAGGAGAAGCATCCTCTCATGACATCTGTCCCCATCACACAACTCTGGTTCTGTGTCCTAGGGGAGGTGGTTATGACCCCCAATGATTTGACTCCAGAATTATTGTGATGTTCTCTACTTTTGGGCTTTTTGTGGGAAATCGATCAAGCCCTGGAATGATTGTCTGCAATCCACCTTCCCTCACACCCTATTCCAATTGTGATTTAAGTATATAACTTCTGCTTTTACTTCAGCTTGGACAACATTCCTCACTCAGAAACTGATTAATTAAACCACTATATGGTTACTGCCCCTCCCTTCTCTAGGCCTACTTTGTATGGCTCTGAGCATTCCCAGGTTAGAGACTGGCTCAGTAAAATGTTGTTAACACTTGTGATCTGTGAGTTTATTCTTTTAAAAATATATTTTTGCAACTGAACTTCAATATAACTGTTTATTTCTAAATCCTATGTTTGCTTTTATTTTGTGAGCTCAAAAACATGATTCTGAGAAAGATTTCATAGGTTTCAACAGATGTCCGAAGGGATCCTTGCTATAAAAAGGTTAAGACCACCTGGCCTAAAAGCAAACTGGCCCTCAATCCACATGACTTCCCTTCTCTTATCATTTCAGAATTTTATTACCATAGGCTAATATCTCATTGTGATGCCTTTGAGTCTCCAAGCCAAGACGGACATCTTGGTTTTCTGGATAGAGGTGTGGTTACCTGCAGTTCTAATTATAATTCTTTGCATTAACAGTAGTCACTACTGCCTCCTCATTTATTTTCTCTGCTTGTAAATAAAATTCAATAGCAATCAGGCTCAGTCTTGAAAGATTGCTTTAAAACAATTCTGAAAAATAGCAAATGAGTAGCTTAAAATAAAATTAGGATTTAAACATCAGTCATTTGAGACCAAATGGGAGACAGGAGTAGGGTGGGTTTCCTCTGCTGACTGTTCTTGGTCAGGAAAAGATCCCCAATAATCAATGATCTTAAATTCTAGACACTGTTGTCCTGTTGCATCCCATTGGTGGAAATAAAACATTAGCAGCCCTGGTAGACCACCAGTGCACTCAACCCCATTCTCCTGCATGCTTCTTTTCTGATCATTTCTACACCTGTCATTTATCTCCCATGTCTCTCACAGATTAGTGAACTTGGCTGTCCATATTTTTGTCTATAATAACTCAGTCTCTTGCTGGGCTGAGAAGATTGCAAATCTCATGACTCACTTTGGCTGCAGAACTTTGTCCCTGCCTATACAGAGTCCAAATTCTGAAGGCCTGTCATGTTGAACCTGTCTGATCACTAGAGTTGTCTACTGTCAGGTAAATGGAGACATTTACATCTTTTGTAGACGTGGTTACAGGATAATGATCAAAAAGGTAAAAGGGACCTCAAGGGTCAACTAGTTTAACACCCCCATTTTACTAATGAGGAAGCCAAGGAGGTTAAGTCCTTAGTCTCTGCAGCCCTTAGAACAGCCTCTCCAGTACAGTGCCTGGTACATATTAGGTGCTTTATAAATGATCACTAGCAAAAGAGTTTCACTTCTGCTGTGAATTGCTGCCATCTTGAAATGTTCTATCTGCATATTATCTATGGGGAAGTTATCTTAGGGCACATTTGCCAAGAGGCAATGTCCAGGGTCCATGGACACCTAAGGGCTAACTGACCTTTCTGTTTTATAATTTCCACCCCCACCCCTAAAATCTCCCTTGGTTGAGTAGCTGGCAGAAAGTTGGATGCCTCCAGATTGAACTTCTGTTAAATTTTCTCCTTCACCCTCCAATGCCAAAGATTGCCTTCAGTTTGAGCAAACGGCAGCTGGCATTCTGCACTGCCTATCAGTGTCCTTAGATTCAGTCTTATATTAGAATGCAGACCAAGGTCACCTTTACATTGATTAGTCCCTGAAGACCTCTGCTAGGATACATACAACAGATGGGAAGTTTTCAGTGTCTGATTCCTCGGCACATCATTCTTTCCCTCCTCTTTATTTGACAATCCAAGCATTTCTTTGTAGGCAGCAAGGAATTACAATGTATCATCTGTGTAGGACTTCTGCCACTTCATACTGCCATCTTCTAGAACAATACATTTCCTTATATTCCAGTTTGCCATTTGATTGATCAGAAGTCACGATACTTGTTATTGTCACCAAGAATGTGACAGGACTCTATGTCACATAGAGTTTGGGGCAGTGAACCTGAATACTGCAGTGATGTTTATTCTGATCTACCATTTTCCTTACATCTCACAACTTCTCTTGGTTGTATGTTGCACCCACTTTGAATTTCCAGATCTCTTATATTTTATGACAATTCAAGTCAGTGATCAACGTGAAGCCAATATTTTCTCTCACATCTCATCAAAGATCGCATAAATTATCATTAAGTTATCATTAAAATAAAACTTTAAATTTTGCACATTGTAAATAATTAACTCATTTTCCTAACAATAATCTGGTGTTTCAGATTGGTATTTTTATTCCTATTTTGCAAAAGAAAAAAAACCTTAGATTCACAAAGTTTGTGAGTTGCCTAGGGTAATATAGCTAACCAATTTCTGAGGCAGAATTTGAACCCATCTCTTCTTGGCTAGAGTGCCACTATTCCTTGATGTCCCCAAAACTTGTGGCATTTTTTGTAGGCATACTATAATGCTTCTATGGAAAAAATGATTCGTGCTGGTTCCACTTATATTGTGCTCTTGCCAGTATCTCCAATCAATTTAGCTAGCTGCCATTAAAACACATTGAATGGGGGACTGCTTCTTGGTAGTCACAAAGACTTATATTTCTTACTTCCTGACAGGTCAAATATTTCTCTGAGTAATTTGTTGTCAAAATCTCTCCCTTGAACAGAGATCATGGCTGAAGAGCCATCCCCTTAGAAATTCTCCTTCCATGACACCTTGGCCAGTGTTTAGTCCCACTGATTCTGTGCTGAATATGACTGTACACATTACAAGTCCATGTCTACCATGAGGCTTCTCATGCACCAATGACCCTCTTACAATACTAGGAACTGGGCCCAAAACTGCCCTTTATTTCCATAAGCTGTGATTCTATCAAGAAATCAGGACTCCATGCACATTTTGGCTTTTATTTTACAGCAGACATAAAACCATACCCAATAAACATCCATATAGTTTTCTTCTAAGAAAAGAAGTATTTAATATAGTCTATAAGGAGTTTTTTTTTAGCTCAGTAATGAACATGGCCATGTTGTATATGTTGAGCCATAAACAGTTAAGCTAATAGGGAAATCTTTATCTCAGCAACATGCAAGCATATCAGTAATGAAATTAATATAGCCTTTTATCATCAGCAGTGAGGGCTGCTAAGAATAGCCCTTGCTACCAATATATGGGCTAACATCCCCAAATGCAGAAATGAAGCTCTGTTTATGTAATTAAAATAGAATAATTAAACATAAAGCCCCAAGTGTAGAAGGTCCACAAATATTTCCATAAAGAGAATTACGGTGAATGGCAATCAATACCTGTCCTAAATCCTGGGAAGCTTGTCTGGAGTCAAGGTGAGGTATGGTTATCTTCTGAATTCCTAATACAAAGAGGAGAGAGTCAGAGGGATGGGGGCAGGTCAAAGAGAGAGAAATGGGTAGAGAGAGGCAGAGAAAAGGACAGAGAGAAGAAAAGCAAAGAGAATGAAATGGAGAAGAAGGAAATGAAAAGAGAAGAAGAGAGGGCAGAACAGGTTAGGATAAGAGATGAAAGAAGAGAATAGAACAGGAAAAGAGAAGAGAAGAGAAACAGGCAGATTCAGGATAGCAAGTAATGAAAATCTAGAGGG